AAAAAGAAAAAAGCCGGAAGTGGCGCTGTGGCTCAAGTGGTAGAGCACTAGCCTTGAGCTGAAGAGCTGAGGGACAGTGCCCAGGCCCAAAGTTCCAGCCCCACGACCGGACCCCCCAAAAAAAGTTTTTTAAGTATGAGCTTTAGAGTCCAATAATCCTTAATTCATAAGTCGAGAGGTATGATCTTAATGTTCTTGTTTTTTCTTTGGGTGCTGGGATTAACTCAACACAGCCTCTCCCATTCACTGTACTAAGCTACTGTTATATTTTTTAAAGGAATGTGTTCATTTTCATATATATTTTCACCCACCCTGACAAGCAGTTTCCTACTGCTGAGCTAGGACACTTAGATTTATGTAATTGTAACATGGTTCTTTTTCATATCTATTTATCATGCTCCTTCTATTCTTACATCCCTATTGTTTTTTCCCCTCTGTTCATCTTTTTTAAGAATTTACACTTACACTCATTACCAATTACACTTTTTTAAAAAAAATTTGGTCAGTTGTGAGGCTTGAACTCAGGTGCTAAGTATCGTCCCTGAGCTTTTCCACTCAAGGCTAGTGCTCTACCACTTTGAACCACATCACCACTTCATTTTCTGGTGGTTAATTGGAAATAAGAATCTCATAGCCAGGCACCAGTGGCTCACGCCTGTAATCCTAGCTACTCCGAGGCTGATATCTGAGAATCATGGTTCAAAGCCAGTCTGGGCAGGAAAGTCCATGAGACTCTTATCTCCAATAAACCACTCAGAAAAACCAGAAGTCTCATTGTATCTGAAGTGGTAGAGCACTCGCCTTGAGCTAAAGAGCAGAACGATAGTGCCCAGTCCCAGAGTTCAAGCCCCACGACAACAAAAAAAAAGAATCTCACTTTCCTGCCTAGGCTGGCTTCAAATTGTGATCCTCAGATCTCAGTCTCCTTAGTAATTAGGATTACACCAACACCTGGCACCAATTACTCTTGAGATTTTAGGTAAATACTCAAAAGACAAAACATCTTAAATCTACCCTCTTCCAAAACAATGCAAGGGACCATATTCAGTCACTTTGTGATTAGCCTTATTGATGTGCTTTTTCTTTTAACATTGGAAATTCACCTTAAAATATGCATTTTAACAATTTTTTTTTTTTTTTGGTCATGGGCTTGAACTCTGGGCCTGGGCACTGTTCTTGAGCTCTTCAGCTCAAGGCAAGTGCTCTACCACTTGAGCTACAGCGCCACTTCCTGTTCTCTGGTGGTTAATTGGAAATAAGAGCCTCAAGGACTTTCCTGTCCGGGCTGGCTTTGAACCTCAGTCTTCAGATCTCAGCCTCCTGAGTAGCTAGGATTATAGGCATGAGCCACCAGCACCCAGCTTATAACTAATTTCTTACTGTGCTTACAGAATGTCTCAGAATGACAGTACCAACACTAGGATGATAAAAGATTATTGTAACATTTATTTGTTGGTAGTTTTTTGTTTTTTTTTATTGTGAAAATACCGTACAGAGGGGTTACAATTACTTGGACAAGATAATGAGTTCATTTCTTGTCAAGTATTGTTGCCTCCTCCTTTGTTTCCCCTTCCCATCTCCCTCTCCCTCCCCCCCACCTTGGTAGTTTTTTGTTTTGTTTTGTTTTGTCAAGGTTATTCCCCTATATAATCAAATCACTATGTTGTAAAATCACTTGGGACAGGATAGAGAGAAGACTGTAAAGTGTGTTACTGAGTTGCTGTTTATAGCTTACCCATCTGTCTTATTTCCAGCTGGAAAGAGTACCATCACCTGATCACCGCCGGAGAAGTTACCGAGACCTGGACAAGCCCCGACGATCTCCTACATTGCGCTACAGGAGGAGTAGGAGTCGGTCACCCAGAAGGTCAGGTTCAAGTTGGCCCCCTTCAGGGAAACTAACCATTAGAGCTTATGAGTTTGATTTCAGGGAAGGAAAAATGCCAGTCTTTAGAAAACAACCATAAAAACTATTTTTGTTGTTCTTCCTAAATGTGTAGTTACTGATACAAGCTTGGCTTCAATACACAGTGAAGTAGGAGCTAGCTGTTTCATGCAAGTGTTTTTCCAATATCTGTTTGTATCACTTTCGCAGGCCACATGGTCAATCCAAAGTGAGTAAGTGTGCTAAAAAGTTACAGTTAGAGGACATGGATAAAAGTTAAGAGGAACAATCAGGACCAATGGGATAAATCCTCACCCCAGAAAAAATTGGAACCATTTTTACAACATACAACATCCAGTGCACTAAGCTAGGCTCTCCTCTGTCTTTCCTTTCTCTGTAGGCGGAGTCGATCACCCAAAAGAAGAAGGTAGGCCATCATTCATTACTGGGAGAGGGTATAATATTATGATATACTGCCAAATAGATCTGGTGAATGATCAGTCTTTTTCACAGCCCCTCCCCCCGCCGAGAAAGGCATAGGAGCAAGAGTCCAAGACGTCACCGAAGCAGGTCCCGAGATCGAAGGCACAGATCCCGTTCCAAATCTCCAGGTATAGCATTTAGGCCTTTTGCTGCTGCTTGTTTTAACAAAGAAATATAAGGGGGAACAGTTAGCCTCCTTCAGTACAGGAAATGAAGTACAGAAAAAGGAGATGGACACAAAATTTGAAAATTAGTGTTCACCTCTGACGTGAGTTCTGTAGAGCTGTGCACCAGTGGCTCATGCCTTTAATCCTAGCTTCTAAGGAGCTGAGATCTGAGTGTTTTGAGCCAGCCTGGGCAGGAAAGTCTAGGGGACTCTAATCTCCAGTTAACTGCCAGAAAACTAGAAGTAGTGCTGTGGTTCAAGTGGTAGAGTGCTAGCCTTAAGCAAAGGGAGCTCAGGGATAGCTCTCCCAGGCCCAGAGTTCAAGCCCCAGGACTGGCAAAAAAAAAAAAAAAAAGAGAGAGCTCTGAGAATATGATGGGTTTCACTTTTTCATTTGATATTATAGGAATATGGCTTAACTTTGGGAAAAAACAGTGTTGGGTTTATGAAATTAGTCATAAAGTTCTGAGTGTATGGGGTTTCATTAATAAATTCCAAATAGTGAGGTGACCCCAACCAGAGATGGAACAACAGCATAGGCCAAAAAAATACAAAGCCAAAGGGAGGATTGGTAGGGAAGGAGAAAATTTCAGTTAGCTCTGACTCATCAAATAACTTTTTCTTTCCCAGGTCATCACCGTAGTCACAGACATAGAAGCCACTCAAAGTCTCCTGAAAGGTATGATTTGATCTCTCTTTTAAGAATTGAAAGCAGGCCGGGCGCTGGTGGCTCACGCCTGTCATCCTAGCTACTCAGGAGGCTGAGATCTGAGGATCGAGGTTCAAAGCCAGCCCGGGCAGGGAAGACCGGGAGACTCCTATCTCCAATAAACCACCAGAAAACCGGAAGTGGCGCTGTAGCTCAAGTGGTAGAGCGCTCGCCTTGAGCTGGAGAGCTGAGGGACAGCGCCCAGGCCCAGAGTTCAAGCCCCACGACCGACAAAAAAAAAAGAATTGAAAGCAGGCACTGGTGGCTCATAACTGTAACTGTAGCTACTCAAGAAGCTGAAATATGAGGATTATGGTTCAAAGCTAACCCAGCCAGGAAATTCTGTGAGACTCTTTTCTTCTAACCAGCAAAAGGCCCCAAGTAGAGACGTGAGTTAATTTGGTAGAGCACCATTCTTGAGTGAAAAAGCCAAACGAGAATGTAAAGCCCTGAGTTCAAGCTCCAGTACCACGGCAAAAATAAATTTAAACCTTTTCTCAGAAATTAAAGTCCTATTTACAACTAACTTGGACCTGAACTTTCTTGTTTTGACAGGGATATTGAAAATCCTTTAAGACAAAAATAGGCTTTTTGTCCTGGGCATTGATAGGATTGTTTCTGTTTTGAAATTTTTTGGGGGGGTGGGGATAGGATTATAGCTTTGGAGAATGGATGAGATGTGATCTAGGGGGATCTGGGTTTTAAGAGCCAACTTTTAAAATGCAATAGTTGTGTGACCTTGGAGAAGTCACTTTCATTAGAAACATCTAGGATCATACAGTATTAGATGCACTCTTAACCTTTAAATAAGTAGTTTCCTTAGTGTAGTATATTTTGAATAGTAATACCTGGGCTCAGAGTATTGCTCTGAATTATTAAAAATAAAAAAAAATTACACATCAAATATATTAGGTGTCATAGTAATTCTTCCTTATATTTTCTTTAAGATTTCTGGGCTGGGAAGGTGGCTCAATGGCAGAGTGCTTGCCTTGCATGCCTGAGGCCCTGGGTTTGATTCCTCAGCACCACATATGCAAAAAGAAAAAAGCCGGAAGTGGCGCTGTAGCTCAAGGGCTACGTAGAGCGCTAGCCTTGAGCTGAAGAGCTGAAGGACAGCCCCCAGGCCCAGAGTTCAGGCCCCACGACTGGACCCAAAAAAAAAAAGATTTCTATGTATTCCATTTCAGGTCTAAGAAAAGCCATAAGAAGAGCCGAAGAGGAAATGAGTAATGGACTCAGTTTGGTTTTAGTCCAAATGGGCTCCAGTGGATATGAAGTTAATCTGTTTAAATGGAAAGATTAAGATCTACGCTCCAGGCAACGACAAGAATTTTAATTTTCTCTTAACCAAGTTTTTGGTTTTGTGATTTTCTTAAATGAAAGAGGTGCTGAGTTTTATTATCTTTTTCAATAGTAAACATCTTTGAAGGATGTTTTCTAAGGTCAGTTTTTGACCAAACCAACTAGGACTATATTCACACTTAAGAGGGTAGAAAGGATTTGGGGATTGGAGATGATGAATGAGAAGGAAAGGACATGGCCTTTCCCTTTTTGCTATTAAACTTATTTGCCATTTTTCTGTACTTTGGTTTTTGGTTTACTCTAAAATAAGAACTGCTTTGAAAATCCTGGGGTTTGTGCTACTGCTATTTTTCAAAAAAACAAAATGGGCTGGGCATATAGCTCAAGTGGTACAGATAAGTATCTGCCTTGCAAAGCAATAGTCCAAGAAACTCCAGTAGTTTAAAAAAAACAAAACTGTCCAACATATTCTTAATTAAAACACTGGTTAGCCAATAATATTCAAATAAACATAGGCTTCTTCCAGACTTAATCCCAATTTCATCAAGTAGTTGAACAAATAGCACTTAGTAGCCTTTACTATTTTACTTATTTTGTTGGGGATTGAATCAGGTCTTTGTGTTTGCTAGGTAAGCACTGCTATACAATCTTAATACCCTTTATGCAATACATTTTTATATACTGCCATTTGTTCAGTCCCATAAGCCTTGAATTCCAGCTTTAGATGCTCAGTCTTTATTCAACAAGTATTACCATCAAAGCCTAGTTTTGACCTGAGTTGCTTAACAGTAGTGTCATAAAGTCATAAACATACACCAGGAAGAAAAACCTTTCTTTTTTTTTTTTTTTTAAACTTAGAGGGACAGAGAATGAGGGTTTATAGTGGTAATGAAAATGATACATTCTTCCTAACAAGTTTAGTTTGAGACATTTACGACGTTTGGTGTAGCTGGGTACATCTCTGCATAAATTCAGCTTAGTAACCTAAGCCATACTATGTTTAAATAAATAATACTTATACAAAATAGCTCAAGAATGTAGGTGTGTGTGTGTGTGTATACGTGTGTACGTTTGTACATGGGGGAGGGTGTGGGTGTGGAGAGAGTAAATAGCACCATAGGCAACAACATTGTTGATAAGAACAAGTCAATTATTTAATACTGGAATGACCCATTCACAAAGGTCTAAGAATTAGGAGTAAGTAAAAGAAGCCAAAAGACTTAAAAAGCCCTATGGACACTGATACTCAAAGAGAATTACTAGGGTCTTTCTTAGAAAGTTTCCTTTAATGTAAATACATTTCCTTCTTTAAAAATGGGGGGGAAAATGGTTGAATGATTACCTGCAACTGGTCCTAGGAGGAATTTGGATGAGCACCTGCTTTGTTTGATCTAGCTTCTTGAGAAGTCTTATCTGGTCATATAAAAACATGTTTGTTGCTCACTACTGAACTGATGGACTTTTATAGAAATACTTAAGTAACTTTTTAAAACCTATTTGAACTTTCATGTTTTTCTGAAATAAAAATTATCTACAAGAACTGCTCTACAGTACAAATACATATATATATATATATGATTTTAAAAATTAAATATAAGCATCTCTATGTAAGTCTGTTACAAACTCCCAGAAGTTATTTCTTTACTAAAGTACTCTAGGTATAAAGAAATACCTTTTGGCTAAATGATCCATGGACCAACTAAGCATGATCAGTATACTGATCATTACTGAAGTGAAAATAAACCTGTAAAAAGTCTCAAGATTTTAATATCAGAAATAAACCTTCCCAAGCATAAATTATAATGCATTCTTGTTTAGACCAAAACTGAGGCAGCATAACCAAGCTACAGCAGGAATCAGAATGTTCCTATTCTTCTGTTGAACATCTTTCCAGAGATCATTTTGATAAACTGAAAAGGATATGTAATGTTTACTTATCTGATAGGCCTTGGAATGGGAGCTTTAAAACTGGCTACAACTGCTATACTAAGAAGTGTTTTCACATTTTACCTTTCTGTACATACCATGTATTCTTTGTACTGAAGCAGATTTAGGAAAATTATTCCTTATGCAAAATATAAAATTTCTTAATTATCTATTTCTTGTCTTTTAAGTCCTATTTTCTGAAAGAGGTTTCTATTTCTCCTTGTTTTAACAATATATGTTTTAACTAATACATATAATACATAGTGTAGTATATGTGTCTACTAATTATAGATAGTATATATACTAACATATTAATAGGCAAAAATGTTTTCATTTAAAACACTCATTGTATTATGTAATATGTAACCATATTATCTATAATACAGATATAACATATATAGATAACATTGTTGTATACATTACACAAGATCAGTTTCCATAAATTGCAGTACCATGCCTTAGAAGCTCTACCATTATAATCTCAATACTAAGAATTGAAGACAAGAAATAACATCTGCTGACAGGGTTCCAATATAACCACCCAAAGTAAAGCTCATTCCTTTAACCTTTTTTTTTCTATTATTCTTCAGAATGCTGATGTTAAATTTAAATATTAATGAGAAAAAAATGGTCACAGGTGGCTGCCCAGTCCCTCATAAAAGGCGCTGGTGGCTCACGCCTGTACTCCTAGCTACTCAGGAGGCTGAGATCTGAGGATCTCGGTTCAAAGCCAGCCTGGGCAGGAGAGACCATGAGACTCCTATCTCCAGTAAACCACCAGCAAACTGGAAGTGGCGCTGTAGCTCAAGTGGTAGAGCACTCACCTTGAGCTGAAGAGCTGAGGGACAGCGCCCAGGCCCAGAGTTCAAGCCCCACGACCGACCAAAAAAAAAAAGTTACAAGTGACAAATTCTCCAAACTCAACGTAGTATAAAAGCATTAAATATTGCTGGGCACTGGTGGCTCACGCCTGTAATCCTAGCTACTCAGGAGCTGAGATCTGAGGATCACAGTTCAAAGCCACCCCATCAGGAAAGTCCATGAGACTCTTCAATAAACCACTAGAAAACTGGAAGTGGTGCTATGGCTCAAATGGTATAGCGCTCACCTTGAGCTGAAGAGCACTGGTGTGCAAGTGTTCTTTAATCATAGCTACTTGGGAAGCTAATGTAAGAACAGCACTTGAGCCCAAGAGTTTGAATCCAAATCTGGGCAACACAGCAAGTTTATCTCAAAATAACAACAAAACATAAACTACAAAATATAAAACGACAACTTTAGCAAATAACATTAAAAATAGAAAAGGCAAGCTGGGAAGGTTGCTCAGTGGTAGAGTGCTTGCCTTGCATGCCTGAGGCCCTGGGTTCGATTCCTCAGTACCACATAAGCAAAAAGAAAAAAGCCAGAAGTGGTGCTGTGG